AACTTCACAACAAATAACACATTGCGGTCTCTCAATTCCTGCTATAATTATTGAGGTAAAACCATACTGTAAAAAATCCTCACTATATTTTCTTTTCTTAACGTTCTTCTCTACACGATCCATTGTCATAGGATTGTTTGCTAATGAAAGGAATATATAACAGTAGCTTTAATACAAAAGTTGATACATGGCATAGTTCAGCCAATACAGTTCATTCCAGTTTCCTATGATTTACCATTCTGTGTTGCTTTTTTAACACACCGATCACTATCTGAAGGGGGCACTATTCACATCAACCACAGCTCAATATAAAAATAATCAGCATCCAGATTAAGTTCCCATGATACATTTTTTTTGCAGTTGATGATTTTACAGTACATTATTTTACATTTACCCAGTAATTATAATTCATGAAGTGTCACTTTACCTCTAATAGTGCTGCTTTCAACACAGTAGCTGCTCTCTACATGTGTGACTGGTCTGCATATGTACATCAGGGCACCAACCCTGTCACACACACCTGTATTTGAACAGGGTGTATGTGATGGGGTTGGCACGATGGGGTACTCATATGTGGGTGTATCTGCATGTGGGCAGACCTGCCTGTGGAGGTGGATAGAGGAGCCATGTCTCAGTTCCTAAGACCATCAGAAATAAGTGTTTTCTGATGGTCTTAGCTAAGCAACCCCTGTAGGTCTTTCAACCTACAAAAGGGTTGCAAACCCACAGGTTGAGAACTGTAGAATTAAGAGGCTTATACAGCTTAATGAAATTGGATCACAATTAGATTGGTAGCAATACAAAGCATCCTCACTTTGTAACTTTTTTTTTTCTAAAGAGATAGTCTCATATTGTCACCCTCAGTAAGAGTACTATACTGTCACATCTCACAACCACTTCCAGCTCCTGGCCTTAGGCAATTCTCTTGCCTCAGCTTCCCAAGCAGAACGGACCACAGGCACCCACTACATCACCTTACTATTTCTTTGTTGCAGTTTGGCCAGGGCCAGGTTCAAACCCGCCACCCTCGGTATATGGGGCCAGCGCCCTACTCACTAAAGCACAGGTGCCGCCCCATTTTCTTTTCTTTTTTTT